TACATTGTAACACCATCATCATTACATTGTAACACCATCATCATTACATTGTAACACCATCATCATTACATTCTAACACCACCATCACTACATTGTAACACCATCATCATTATATTGTAACACCATCATCACTACATTGTAACACCATAATCATTACATTGTAACACTGTCATCATTACATGGTAGCATCAGTCCCTTGGAAAAGCCTGCTTCAGGGAGTTCTGTGGCTTTCCACCTGTGGACACATTTCATTATCCATAACCAAACCATCACACCGATGGCCACAACCACCAGGCTCACCAGAACTACGTAAACGGGAGCTCCTGGGGTGGGGTGTGGGATAGGAGTTTCCCAGAATCCTAGGCGGTGCCCAGTAGCTTGACTTGTGTCAGGGCAACAAATGGTGTCACTTGTTTCCCTGGGGGCAGCGGGCTGGTTTCGTACACATCCCATGAAAGGTCTGCCCATGGGGCCTCGTTCCTCTCTGGCGTTCGCCCAGACGAAAGCGGTGTTTCTGGGGCAAAGAGGCTGATTCAAGGCACAAGGTAAATGAATGCCCAACGGCTTTGCTGGAGGCCGTCCACTGACCGGGAGGGACAGCCAACCCGTGTTGTCTCAGAGAGCATTAACTAGACGGGTTGTAAGGGCTTCTACAAGGTCAGGGGAGGGGAGCTCTCCTCTGACTCTCACAGGGGCATTGTTTTTCCGTTTTCTGTTCCTGAGGGCTTTATCTGGATTGCATGTGTTGAGAGCTCTTATCTTTACCAGTGTACATGCTCTGGTCTAGCCAGGTGTGTAAGGTAGAGCTGGGGTCATGATAGTGGGGGGAGGAAGCATTAAAGAACTAGAGGAATGTTGTGTGTTCCCTCGGTGCTATGCTGCACCCCAGCTGACTCGTTCCTTCCTTGTGACCCTTCTGTGAGGGGATGTCCAATTATCTACAGCTAGGCCAACAAACCCAGGGAAGAGGGAACAATAAGAGATCTAAAAAAAAATCTATGACGAGGAGGGTGTAGAATGCCTGGAGCAGGTTGATCCAGTGAAATGTAACAGAGATAAGGTCCTGAGAGCTTAACGAAGGGCGAACACCACAGTGGGACAGGAGGAAAGTACGAACAAGGAGGCAAAGACATTTACAGAGCACAAATATAGGCATGCACATATGTAAATACATAAATATACTAATAGGGAAACGGGTCTATGTACATATATTTATAGGTTTAGTATTAAGGTAGCAGATGAACATTCGGCCTCTACTCAAGTACTTCCTCAACACAAGAACACTTTGTTCTAATAACCTGGCACTCCATGATGCTCACCTTCACCTTCTTGACATGACCGCTGAAGACAAAGCGGGTGCATAAGCAGATGTGGTGAAGAAAGCTGATGGTGCCTGGCTATCAAAAGATATAGCATCTGGGGTCTTAAAGGCTTGAAGATAAACAAGCAGCCATCTAGCAGAGAAGCAACAAAGTCCACATGGAAGAAGCACACCAGCCTGTGTGGTCATGAGGTGTAGAGAGGATCAGCTATCACGCATCAGAAAACTCTAAACAAACAAATATATCAATGTACATGATGGGGGTTGGAGAGGACATTCCTAAACGGTCCCGTGTTGCTCTGCCCACCCCCTTCCCTTGCTTTCTTTTCTGCCCTGAGGTTTCCATGACAGGAAGGGACCCCAGTGTGCACTGCTGCCCTGGGCTGGGCGGGAGTTAGGGCCTCGGCTGATGTACCCGTTGCTGTTGCCACACCTGTACAAATGTGAGCACAGCAATGCCACAGGTGAGGTCACTGTGTGATCGGACGGCACGGGGACATTGCGTGGGGCGCCAGCTGCTGTCCAGTCTGCCCCACTCAGGGTGGCTCGGCAGATGAGAGGCAGAAACCCTGCCAGATCCTTGTTACCTGCATGGCCACTGGGACGGCTGAGCCCAGTGACGGAGCTCCTGTGTCCGCCGTCTCAGGAAGGGTCTCCCTCCACTTTACTAAGCAGAGAGCTGACACTGCGGTCATGCACTGCGCCACTCAGCAGAAGGTCTGCGTTCGAGCCCAGCACTTGCTCCCCGGGAGGAAAATGTGGCCGTCTGCTTCAGTAAAGAGCACAGCTGTGGGCACCCTATCAGGCAGGTCTGCTCTGTCCTGTGGGGTCGCCGTGACTCAATGTGGTCATCCTAGTGGCAATGGGCTTGGCTCCTTTATCAGACGTGGTGTCCTTTCCTAGCCATGAGAATGTCCTGGTGACATGACCAGAGCAAATAGGCCAAGGTCGCCGTCCTCGCTTCTAAGGGACGTTCCGGTTATGTCGCACCTAAGAGTCTGCTGTCTGTGGGTGCAGGGACCCTCGGTGGGCAGGGCTGGCACAGGGTCTCTGCAGTCCTGTCACATCAAGCCACCAAGGCAGCACACGGTCATCTAGGACAGGTGTCAGTGCAGGGTCTTTGCTGCGGAAGCATGTGCCGCGACATGGTGCCAGCATGGCTCCCACTCCCTGCCCCCCACGGAGCCGGCGAGCTTACCTCGGTTTCCCCAGAAAGGGGAGGCAGAAGTTGGAAGTGACCAGCACTGCTGGAGTGGAGGGGCTTTGTCCCACTGTGGGTCAGCATGGGGGGTGGGGCAGGGTGTCTGTCTCTGGAGAGGGATTTGTGGTCTGTGTAGCTGGCTGGCTGTCTCTGGGTGTGTGTATGTTGTGTATGAGTCTGTGTCTCTGTGTGACTGTGTGTCTCTGGGTGGGTGTCTCTGTGTGTGTGTGTGCCTGTCAGGTATTGGTGTCATCATTGTGTGTCTGTCTGGGTGACTGTATGTCCATATGCATTTTCGAGTCTGTGTTTGTGTGTCGCTGTTGTTTTGTCAATACAACAGCGTGTGCAGGGGTGTCTGTGTCCACCCATCTCTGGCTGTCCATCTGTCTGTCTATGTCTTAGTGTCTGTGTGTCTGCCTGTGTCTACAGAGTGGGGCCCAGGCATCCAACTTGCTCGTATGTTTGGGTGTCTGTGTCTGTCTGACTGTCTACCTGTGTCTGGGTGTCAGTCTGTCTGGGTGTCTGTGTCTGAAGCCCTGTATGGAGCCCAATCAGGCAGTCAGCTCCTCATGTCTGGGTTTTGTGTGTGTGTGTGTGTGTGTGTGTGTGTGTGTGTGTGTGTGTCTATCTGGGTCTCTGTGTCTGAAGCCCCAGTGGATCCCAGATGGCCCCCACTCCTCATATCTGTCTGTCTGTCTGCGTCTGCATGCCTGAAGCCCCCAGTGGCCCCCAGTCCCTATGACTGGCTCTCCCTCCCTCAGGGGCTTGAAGGGCCAGGTGAGGAAGGAGAACTCCAAAAGGGAGCTGCTGTCTGACTCTGCGCACCTGAACGAGACCCACTGTGCACACTGCCTGCAGCCCTACCGGCTCCTGGGCCACAGCCGGAGGCAGTGCCTGGACTGCAGCCTGTCCACCTGCGGGGGCTGCGGCAGCGCCCACCCCACTGGCCATGGCTGGCTGTGCGACCCCTGCCACCGGGCCAGGTGAGTGGCCTCAGCTGGGATGGTCCCAAGGGCCCTGGGCTGTGGGTCCCCCAAGGAAGCCGGCCCCTCAGACACAGGGCTGTGTCTCAAATGGGATGACCCCAAGAGCCCTGGGCTATGTCCCCCAGATCAGCTGGCCCTGAGCGACCTGGCCCCACGTTGAGTGGACCCAGAGCCCTGGCCTGGTACAGTCCTGCCCCTCAGGGTGGGGGGGGCGCATGGAGGGCGGCATCTGTTCCCTGTTGGCATTGTGGACTCTGCCCACATCTGCAGGGTGGTGAAGACCAGCTCCCTGGAGTGGTTCTATGAGCACACGCGGGCTCGCTTCAAGCGCTTCGGGAGTGCCAAGGTGGTCCGGTCTCTCTCCGGGAGGCTGCAGGCTGCAGGTGAGCCTGGGGGTGGGTTCACCTGGGTCAGCGGATTCCTCTAATCCCTCGAGGCACTCCCCTCATCCCACTTCTCCCGTGATGTCAGCTGCCTCTCATGGACACAAACCAAGCCCACCACCATCCAATCCATCGGGACGTACAGCGGCCCGGCCTTGTGTTCCCAAGCCTGCATCTTCCCAGGGGCCGCAGCACCATGGCTCTCCCCTATGGAGCAGCTGGGAGGTGTGACCGGGAACTCCGACCTAGCACTGAACAGCCAGTACCTGCCAGGGGTCTTCGCTGCCTCTTGTCGGAGGGCCAACCCTCCACTCTCCCTGGCCTGGCCTCTGCCTGCAGGATGCAGGCACGCACGCGCACACACACACACACACATCCTCTGGAGGAGCCAAACCAGCAAAGCATCTATGCGAGTATCAACCTGATACAGAGAGGTCTATTTCAAAGAATTGGCTCACACAGCAGTAGCGACAGGAAAGTCCCAAATCACAGGCTGGGCCTCAGGCTGGACGCCCACAGATCTGAGATCCCCTGAGCAGGCTGCTGGCTCAGGCTCCAAGAACCTGAAGTCACAGGATGAAGACCTGGAAGCAGATCAAGAGGGCATGAGCTTGGCCAGAGCATCCACAGATATTGGATGCAGGCCACACCACCAAGGAAACGGATTGACCTTCAACTGGTTGGCTTTTTACTGATTGGCTCTCAGCGGGTTGGCTGTTCACCAAACCAAAACCAAACTCAGAGTGACCCTGTAGGACAGAGCGAATAGAACTTCCCCTGAGAGGTTCCGAGACGGTAAGGCTGTATGGTGACTAGAAAGCCCCGTCTTTCTCCCACAGAGCAGCTGGTGGTTTTGAACTGTGGGCCTTGTGGTTAGCAACCCGACACGTAACCACCCAACCTCCAGGGCTGCAAGCAGATTACAAAACGGAAGCTGATGGCATCGTAGTCTGAGAAGCCGGTCCCAGCCCACAACTGAGTTTCCAGGGCACGAGGAGGCTCCCAACTGAGGTTCTCAGACTCAACCACTCGTGGATCCCCAGGAGGGCCATCCGGGCGGTGCTGCCTCCGTCCCTTCTCTCCGGAGGCCTCTGAGGGGATTCGACCCTCCATCTTCAACAAACATCCCGAGGGCTTCCGAGGTTCACCAAACCCAAACCACCTGCGGAGAAGCCGACCCCGACCCGTGGTGGCCCGTGCACGTGGCCAGAGCCGAGCTGGTCTCTGTCAGGTTTTTGAGAAGTGACCACCAGGCCTTTCCTCAGAGTGCCTCTGGGTGGACTGGACGCTCCAACTCCCAGGAAGCAGCCGAGCGTGGTCACTGTGTGCACCTCCCGGGGACCCGAGAACGTGATTACAAAGCAACTGCGTGTGTTTCAGCGTGTCCAATCCAAGTATTTCTCTCATGATGCGCCTGACCGTCCAGTGTTTAACCCACTGGGCTACCAGCTGCAGTAATCCCACGCTAAACATGTCTTCCTTTAAGGCAGCAGTTCTCAACCTTCCTAATGCTGCGACACTTTCACACAGTCCCTCATGTTGTGCTGACCCCCCAACCATAAAATTATTTTTGTTGCTGCTTATTAACTGTCATTTTGCTACTGTGATGAATCGGGCAATCGCTGTGACAGGATGATTTGACCTCCAAAGGGGTCACAGCCCACAAGTTGAGAACCGCTGCTTTAAGGCATTTAGTGAGTGATGTGGGGTTACACTAGACAGAGGCTGTGGGTAGCCCAGGTTTGTGGGGTTCCCCTGACCTGGGAAAGGGATTGCTCAGAGTGTCTATGAGGAAGCAGGATCTCATCAGTCCCTGCTACCTAGACTCGGGTTCAGCCCAGGAGTGTTACCCCAACATCCCACCTGCCCTGGGGCCGTGAGCCTAACCCGTAACCACCCTCGTGGAGCAGAGAACGGAGGGGCTGGGTTCTCAGGAGGCGAGCCAGAGGGCCATCCTTCAGCAACGGAGGCTGTTGGCGGTTGCTCGGCGCACCCCAGTTTCCAAGGGGACGAGTGCTGAGTTCTAACCAGATGAGCCGCGTGTGACCCGCGGGGTAGCGGTCACGCTTAAGGCCCATCACCGCCGCTCGAAGCGGGGAGTGCAGGAAACAGCGCGAGCGAGCACGTGAGACCAGAATCTGACCGGGATCCTCTTGGCAGCTGCTCTCCAACGGACTCCCCGATCAATCCCATACGATGCCCGAGAGCCGCAGGGGTCTGTTGGACTGCAAAACCCCAAACCACACTGCCACCCAGAGGATGCAGACTCGCAGCGACCCTGTAGGACAGGGTAGAACTGCTCTGATGGTTTCTGAGACAGTACTCCTTTCGAGACTAGAAAGCCCCGTCTTTCTCCTGTGGATGGTTTCAATCTGCTGACCTTTCTGTTAGCGGACCAATCCTATAACCCACTATGCCATAGCCCACTAGCAATAACACACCCCCCCCCTTGCCCCCGCCAAGCTCAGGATGAAAACAATCATTAACCTTCCAAACTCCTTCCGGAAGCCTGGGAAACAGCAAACAGTGGTAAATGTGTAACAACATTCTGCTGAAACCATGTGGCCGCAGTCTTGCTCTGAAACAATTCACAGCAGCACTCGGATACAGCTCCCACAGGCAGTCAGGGTCTCTGAGTGTCGGGCTCTCCAGTCTATCCCTCGGGGGGATGGAGATGAGGCCTCTGGAGCATTAGACGTCGGGCAGGGCTCAGGAACCCTGGGGGTGCACACTGCAATGTGCTCTGCTACTAAGTCCACCCAGGGGCACTCAGAAGAAAGACCTGGCAACTCGCAACTAGAAATGGATCCGGGAAAGCCCCGGGAAACAGTCCCACGAGGAGTCCGAGTCCACTCCATGGCCACTGGTTGCCTCTGGGCTGGGCTGGGGCCAGGAGCCCGTGTTTTGAAAAGTCACAGCCAGACTGTGTCCTCCAGGCGCCACCTACCACTTCTCAGTTTGCCAGAAGGTAGCGCTGCCGGGCAGGAGAAGGCCGGCAGTGGTCCTGCTCCTGGGCGCCAGCCACTGCCCCCAGGCTTCAGTGCCATCTGGGAGGGATGTTCCAGGGGCTGGGGTCTGAAACTACATCACCTGCTTGTTGTTCCATGCTCCACCCTCACAGTGTTCCCTTTGAGCCTGTCGTTGCCACCACTGTGACAATTCATCTCGTTAAGGACCTTCCTCCCCCCTCTGCCCCCCACTGCCCTTCTCCGGGACCGCTCTCTCCTGACAACGTTGCTGAAGTACTTGAGACGAAGCGTCACCATCCTTGCCTCTAAGGAGTGCTCTGACTATAATTCTTTTTTAAGACAGTTGGAAAAAACGAAAAAGACAGTTGGGTTTATTCTTCAATATTCTTCGCAGTCACCACGATTCAAATGCATCGGTTACTGTTGACCTTCCTTATGCATTGTCCAGCGTCGGGATGCACTGGACACGGCGTGGCTTGGTCAAGGTCCCCTCGGTACTCAAAGTGGCAGCTCCACTCCTCCCCGGGACTTTGGAGGTGGTCTTATGCAGCAGACCTGCCCGCGTGG